TGAACAGCCCCAGCTCCCTCAGCCTCTCCTCACAGCACTTGTGCTCCAGTCCCTTCCCCAGCCTCGTTGCTCTCCTCTGGACCTGCTCCAGCCCCTCCATGTCCTTCCTGAGCTGAGGGCCCAGAACTGGACACAGCACTCCAGGGGTGGCCTCACCAGTGTTGATACAGGGCCAGAATCACTTCCTTGGACCTGTTGGCCACACTGTTCCTGCTCCAGGCCAGGATGCAGTGTTGCCTTAAGGTTTTTTGATTTTTTTGCTTTTTCTAATTTTTCTAAGTTTTATAAGTAGTTATATAGCAAATGTAGATTTTTAAAAACAGCCGCGTTCGTTCCCTCACCCTTTAGCACAGAAGCTGCACGTATTCCCCAACCCTCTTACCCCATTCCATAGTCCCCATATCAATTCCCCCCTAAATTCCATTTAGTATGTTTAGTCTCTCTCCTAGGTAGGCCTTCTACTGTTTAAAAACATTTGCTCCCTGGCCTGAACTGCAAGACACGACCAAGAACCGGGTGACTGTGTGCACTCTGTACTCTGAAGAAGACCAAGCTGAGGAAGAAAAGGGTCCCAAAATGACCCCAGACCCAATTCCCAAGGGGCGGGGCAGGGGTGGACAGGGGTAAAGGCTGGTGGGGTGGTGGATAAAATCAGGGATTGGACACTGGACTGGGGAGCAGGCACGTAACTTTTTATATCATTAAACCTTCCCTCACCTTACCTCCAAAATTAAGTTGCCCTAGCGTTTTTTTTCCCCTGAGTTTTCTTTTAGGCAACAGCAGGGAGGCAGAGAATCACACAATCCATTGGAATCAACCAGGTTGGAAAAGACCTCTGAGACCGTTGAGTCCAACCTGGGATCCAACCCCACCTTGTCACCCAGCCCATGACACCAATGCCACATCCAGTGTGTCCTTAAACACCTCCAGAGAAGTGACTCCACCACCTCCCTGGGCAGCCAATTCCAATGTGTGATCACCCTCTCTGTAAAAACCTTCTTCCCAATGTCCAACCTGAACCTCCCCTGGCACAGCTGGAGGCTCTTCCCTCTTGTCCTACTGCTGGTTCCTGGGAGCAGAGCCTGACCCCCCCGGCTCCCCCCTCCTGTCAGGGAGTTGCAGAGCCAGAAGGTCCCCCCTGAGCCTCCTTTTCTCCAGGCTGAGCTCCCCCAGCTCCCTCAGCTGCTCCTGCTGCTCCAGCCCCTTCCCCAGCTCCATTCCCTTCCCTGCACACGCTCCAGCCCCTCAACGTCCTTCGTAAATTGAGAGGCCCAGAACTGGACACAGCACTCGAGATGTGGCCTCACTAGTGACCAGTCCAGGGGAAGGCACACAACAGATTTTCTTTTAATTGCTGCTTGCTTGGAGATATCTCCAAACTCACTCCATCAGGGCAGGAAGAGTTTTCTGCTCCTGCTTTTCCCCTTTCTGACCTTCACACCCCTGTTCTGGTCTGTGTGGTGGCAGCTTCTCAGAGCCTGTGGATGTCGTGCTCACACTGACCGGGAATGGATGTCCTGGGAAAGGTGCCATCTCGGTGCACTTCCAGCAAAGCCATTTAATCGAGTGAAACTGCTCCCAGGGCCCACCCTAAATCACAGGATTGAGGAAGGACACGTCGGATGAGATGTACCAGGTTTTTTTATGCAGCACGTGAGGTTGTTTTTTCATCATGGAATCATGGAATCATGGAATGGTTTGGGTTGGAAGGGACCTTATAGATCATCTAGTTCCATGGGCAGGGACACGTTCCACTAGACCAGGTTGCTCCAAGCCTCATCCAACCTGGCCTTGGACACTTCCAGGGATCCAGGGGCAACCACAGCTTCTCTGACCAACCTAGGACAGGGCCTCCCCACCCTCACAGCCAACAATTCCTTCCCAATATCCCATCTAACTCTGCCCTCTGGCAGTGGGAAGCCATTCCCCCTTGTCCTGTCCCTCCATCCCTTGTCCCCAGTCCCTCTCCAGCTCTCCTGGAGCCCCTTTAGGCCCTGCCAGGGACTCTCAGCTCTCCCTAGATCCTTCTCTTCTCCAGGGGAACTCCCTCAGCTCTCCCAGCCTGGCTCCAGAGCAGAGGGGCTCCAGAATCCTGAAGTGGTTTGAGTTAGAAAAGACCTTTAAGACTATCCACTCCCACCCCTTGCCATGGACAGGGACAACTTCCACTAGCCCAGGTTGCTCCAAGCCCTGTCCAGCCTGGCCTTGGACACTCCCAGAGATCCAGGGGCAGCCACAGCTTCTCTGCCCAACCTGGGACAGGGCCTCCCCACCCTCACAGCCAGGAATTCCTTCCCGATATCCCATCTAACCCTGCCCTCTGGCACTGGGAAGCCATTCCCCCTTGTCCAGAATCCCTCTCTGCCTTTCTCACAGGTCCTCTTCAGGTGCTGAAAGGCTGCAATAAGGTCACCCCTGGGCCTTCTCTTCTCCAGGCTGAACAACCCCAATTCTCTCAGCTGAGCTGTCATCTGTCCAAACCATGTGACGTGACACCAAGAGCTCAGAGAGGCTGGTTGGGACAGTTGACACCTGGAGAGCAGCTGTGCCTAATCCTGGAATCCTAAAAAAACCCTTGAAAGCAAAAAATGTTAGCGTTGAGCCCGCGTTGCAGCGACTGCCAGTCTACAAGACATCACTGACCATTTCAACTGACCTCTTGTTTGCTGTTGGATTTAGCTGGTCAGCAGCACAGGGAGAGCTTCAAATCAAAAATGATTGTCCCTTGGAGGGAGAAATGCAGCCCTGATTTGAAAGCAGAGAGAAGCAGCACTTTGCACGGCCCTGCCTTCGCTTGGCCCGTCGTCGCTCCGCCAGAATTATTTCGATTTGAATATGTCAGGAACCCACTCCCAGCCATAAATATTCCTTCCTCCACAAGATTAAAGACCGCTCTGCTCACCACAATTTTCTCCCTGTGAAAGCACTTACACACCTTAATCAAATTAGTCACCTCTCCATCTTCTTATTGTTGATAAACCAAACAGATTGGATTGTGGAAAATCTCAGTGCAAGGCACTTTCTCCAGCTCTCCAGTGATTTTTCTTGCGCTCCTTTTTCTTTTTTTTTTTTTTCTGGATTCTCTTCAGACCTTTCCCCAAACTCCTTTTTAAATCTGACAGCAGCCAGCCAGATGCTTGAAAGATCTTACTCTTGCACAGAAGCAGCAAACACTCCTCCTTTCCTAATTCCACCTCCCTTTTTGTTTTCTCCAGGCTCTCTGTTGGTGTCTTTGCTGCAGCCCCACGGTGGGAATTCCCGGGGATCTGTTGCTTTCCAGGACCCCTTAACCCCATTCCCTAACACAGCCTGCATTCCTTAAATCTCTATGGGTCACTTGGAAATTGTCTGGTTAAAATCCTTCCTATCCCTGTCATGATGTATAATATATTTATTCTGAGTAAAAGCTCATGTTAAGCCACGAGGGTTTCTGTACCACAATCCTGTGCAGATCCCCCTCAGCCAACATTTTAGGTGCATTAAAATGACCTAATAATTTTTAAACAACTCCTAGTATTTTTTTAATACCTTCATTGGTAATTATTCCTAATGATATCCGTGAAACACAAATAATTCTTCCACTGAATTTTAAAAATGGCAGAGGAAGGTGAGAACATCTTGAGGGATGGAGAACAGGTTATTGCTTTCTTCCCCTCAACTAAAAATGAGCCAAAAATCTTTGCTAAGGTCCCTTGTGTTCTTAAATCTTAAATCCTTTCCTGAATTCCTTGAGTTTTCCAAACCCACTGTCTGGATTTCGTAGCTTCTCATTTTTTCTAATTACCACCTTCCTGGATCTGTTCTCCCTCTGCTGCCTTTTGATTTCTAATTGTCTCCTTCATTTTCACCATGGGGCCAAAGTGGGATTTTAGGTCAGGCTGTCCTTTGACTCCATCTGCAAACACTGGTTTCACATGGAAGTGGGACTTGTATCAAAGCTCCTTTTTTTTTATGCTGGAAATGGGACAAAGACAAAATGACAAATCAGTCCTTGCAACAGTGCTGGAGCTAATTATAAAGCAGGAGGGAACAGTGGCCACAGGCAGATGGGGCCGCACAAGAAAACACTCAATTATTCCCAGTTGCACCTAAAAAATCCCTCATCCAGCCAAATGTGACCATCTTCACGTCTCCCTGTTCATGGAGGGACAACCAGCTCCAATACCTGTGGCACCACCATTTCCACCCATCACACTTCACTTCCAAAGAGCTCAAAGGAAGGGGGAGAGTTCAATTCCCAAAGATGATTTTTTGGGGGGGCTTGAATAGGAATTAACATGTTCCAAGAAGCTCCCCTGTCTTTCTCCGTGAGAAAAAGACCTTCCAAGAATGGAACTCATCCAAGGGAAAAAATAACTTGGGACAATTTTGCTGTCACATTTTTATTGCCAAGGAAACCAGGTGGATCCAGCCACCACAGAAAGAGAAGAGAAGAAAGCAAAAAGGGCACAAAACCAGAACAATTTGATGTTTCCAGCTGGTGGCACTATGGCAAATACAACTGACCCAGGACTGGTCCAGGGAATTATATTTCTTACAAGGGGCTGGAGGGACAGGATGAGGGGGAATGGCTTCCCACTGCCAGAGGGGAGGGGTAGATGGGATATTGGGAAGGAATTGTTGGCTGGGAGGCTGTTGAGGCCCTGGCACAGGCTTCCCAGAGAAGCTGTGGCTGCCCCTGAATCCCTGGAAGTGTCCAAGGCCAGGTTGGACGGGGCTTGGAGCAACCTGGGCTAGTGGAAGGTGTCCCTGCCCATGGCAGGGGGGTGGAACTGGATGATCTTCAAGATCCTTCCCAATCCAACCCACTCAACAACTCCATTAACCTGCTGAGATTTCCAGAGGTTTCTGCCCCCTCAGTCACTGGAGGCAACCGCGGGGATTTCTGCAAAGGTAGAAAACCAGATTGACACATCAATTAATTGATCCTTGAGTGATTGACAGCCTGTGCCACCCCAGGTGCACGGCAGAGACAAAACCCTTCAGTCAGCAGCCTAAACAGCAATTGTAGACAAAAATTAAGGTTCATTTGTGAACGTTTTCTTTGTCTCGGGACGCGGGAGGCGTCGCACAAACAAACCCCGAGCGCGGCACATCCCGCGGGACTGTCACAGGGCCAGGTTAAAACAGGGAAAATGGGAAAATGGGCACACGGCGTTCGCTCGCAGAACCACTGGAAAAGATGCTCAACAATGAAGTGGAATTAAATGAAATTCCAGCCACTCAGAATGCATTATCCCTGCAGCATGGCCGTGAAATCTCTCTCTGAATTGCAGAGTAATTTGCTCTTAAGCCTATGAAGCCTTTCTGGGTGTTCTTTTTTTACCCCCCTTTTATCCCACTCCTCTCTCCTTATTTTTTTTTATTAATTTTTTTTTTTATTGTCAGCCATCATTTGGGAGCTTGTTCCTGCCTCCTTTTGCTCCCCAAGGAAACATTCTGTGAGGGAACAATAGTGATGTGTCACCATGATGTTCTGGGGGTCACTCATTCATGCTCCCATTCCCAATTGCTCTTCCCGTGTGCACCAAACTGCTGCTGGAAGGGCTTTCATGTCCTTTAACTCTTTGCTGGATTAGAGGCT